CGCTAAAGAGTTGGTCGCATCTTCCAGCTCCTGAGCTCCCCTATCCATACTCAATTCAGCAAAAAATGGGCAGTAGGTAAATACGAAGGGGCGAAGCAGCGCAAATTTCCGCTGTTCGTGCATTTTATGGTTGAGCACGTTACCTTTAAAAAGGTCGTGTGAGGGATGACTAAGAACGAAGGGAGTGTATGTACAATATGAAAATAGTAATTGATTTCGCAATAATCTTCAGCTTTTCAAGTCAATGACGTGAACAGAGGGAATTTTGATATATCCCAATGAAACTGAGACAGAGGCTTTCGTATGTAATGGTTCATGGGTCTCGAGCCTACAACTTTTTTCCACTGGAACTTTCCACGTTACAATAACGCTGAAATACCTGTTCAGCAATGCTGATTTGAATGAATTTACTTCTTTTCTTTAACGCGAAGCTATGGTTCCTCAATTACAATGACCTCCTTTCAGAGTCACTTCTCAAGAAAGAGTTAGCCGCTGAAGTGTGAATCCGCGCGGCGTTATTTCTACCAAAATCTGCCTGAAAAATTATCTGGATATAATCACCTGACAGAACAATTTAGGGATTTTTTGACAGTATGAAGTACACCTCTTTCCGAATTCCATAGCCCTTTCGAATAAGATTATTTAATGATGCAAACGAATGAAGCTATCTTAAGGGATATACTAGGCTGTCAAAAAAGTCTTCGCACATTTTCAGTTCCGTGTTGTGGAATTTTTGGGGATTGCTTCAGTGCATCAGTTTCGGAACACGTGTAAGTGCAGGTGAATGGCACTCTTCACACCATATTTGCCGTAGCACTTTGCAACGGTTATGACTGGAAGAATAGCCCTCGACTCGAAGCAAGTTAAACTGCTTTCACTTCATGAGTACAAGAAAGCGTCAATCCAAATCGTACGACAGGGAAATGAGTGATGTGATGGGATCCTCCATTCCTCTGATAGCACAACAATGAATTGGTACCAAGTTTGAGAGTGGCCATTTTGACAAGACGGAAAAACCAACCATAATCTGAAAGACTAGTTGAGCCGAATGTCGACCACCTTTCAAAAATGGTCGAAGAAGGTGTAGTACCCGTCAGCTAAATCAGGAGCCATCACGACACAGCTGCCTATTTGCATCGTCTCGGAAAGACATGGGGATACGGAGTATGGACAATTAATTAACTGAGTGGTCACTAGCCTCAAATGAGGAGAGATGCATGCCTAAACATGTTGACCTTCGCACCTTCGCATGGCTGAACGACTTGATCACCGCAGACGAAAAGTGTGTTTCTACGTGAACCACACGAGAAAGCGCCATTGCCTTGGACGCGTAAAGCATGGATTTCCGACCTCCAAACCAGAATTCCCACAAAGATGGCAAAGCTTAGAGTTTGAAGCCATTCGGAAGGATCGTTCAATGAGACTTGCTACCATCGAACTCCACTGTCAGCACCGGAACCTGTTGTGTTCAGATGGACAGGGCTGCTGCAGCTCTACGAGTGAAATAGCGGGAAGTCTATTCTCTCCATATTTGTGCTCAAAAGACTAAGAAAAAGTGCAAAGCTAGGGATGATATGTTTTAACCTAACCACCGTATTCAGACATGGCTCCAACGGATTATTACCTGTTACTTTCGTTATGAAACCATCTAAAAATAAAAAGTCCGATGTTGTGAGCCAGCTCGAGACGTAGATTGACAAATTTTTCTCTTCGAAACCCCAGGAATTCTATGCAAGCAGGATCCACAAGTTGCCTCATGAATGGCAATACCTTCTCGATAATGACAGCACATATACTTGTCGACTGTTAGTTGTTGCGAAGTAAAAAAAATGAATCTCAGGAAAATTTGCAATGCGGAGAATTTCCCGACAAGCAATAGCTCAATCATTCTTCGAAGTAACATGCAGATAATATTTTCCACCTATCTGATGTGGGTACTGTATTAAAAAATCTGGAACATTCCGTTAGTGAGCTTTTGAGGAATATCTCAAATGCTTCTCGAGAAATGCTATAATTCTTTATGCAAACCACTTACCATCCCCGAACAACAAGGAGCCACTAGAGTTAGCGATATAAACCAATCAGCCTCACTCCCACTGCTGCCAAGGTGATGGAGAAGATCAGTTTTGATAACTTTCAGCCGGTTCGGTAAATTTTTCATCCCCGAGAAGCAGCATGGGTTTCTTACTAGAGATTCTACCGTAATAGTCTCCTAGATACATTTTATAACGTTTGTCGGACTGTTAAAAAGGCCAATCGGTAGATGCTACGCTAATCAGTAAGTTGGAGCATTAAGGTGCTCGAAGTAACACCTTTGAGTGGGTCAAGGCATAGTTTTCTGGAGGGAGTTTGACTATTATCTCCTTTGCTCTTTTTGGCGTACGCAATTAATTGCCTCAGCTCCTCAGAACTTGTAGGGAGGTTTGTGTGCAAATATATGCAAGTGTTATCAGAATATATCCCGCTTACGGTTGATATGAGTAGTGGAGTAGCGCAGAAAGCGCCTACACTGTCTGTGGAGAGAATGAGAACGAATGGGCTTCCTTATGAGATATTCCCTTCAATCTCGACGATTCATTCCAGATAATAAGAAATACGAGATGTCCCAATCTATCTATGATACTCGTTTTTACAGAGCACATGTGCTCTCTCACTCATAGTGTTGCTCTCAAAAATGGGGCTCTTCTATCGAAAAAGATACTTTAAAGCTTGAACCAGACATCACGTGCTCCCTCGACTGTGGTGGTTCAAGTACAGGCCTGCTGAAAGCATTTCTCCTTACTGTGATCGACTGAAATTCTCTGCAGGATCGACGAGTAAGTCGGATTTAGTGCTCTGCTTCCGCATCCTCGGGAAGAGGTGAAGTTATCTGCGAGTAATTACTAGATTTTTAAATCAACTAGTAAGAGACTAGCTGGGTTTAATCTTCACTATGCACCCATTTATTGTAAGAACTACCTTTTGATGTTCAAAAACCTCTTTCATCGTTGTGCGAGATGGAGCTTTGCAATCCCATGTCGTTCATGCACCGAATAGTAAGATATTCAGAAAGACCGAGTAAGCTCAATTTTTCGTGCACCTTAGTATTACAGGACATTTTTCTAAAACTTTCTAGCTTTTCAGTCACCTCTTGCAGCTGCTGTCTGACGCCTGTCCGACGTCTCACTTCTAGTTTTAAAGTTAGATCATCAGAGTCTATTTTCGGTTGCTTCTGATGAACTATTCACCTTGAGCTTCCACTGATTCCTAAAGCTTTCATAGTCCCCCTCTTATTTCTACATACTCCTCAGCAGTATTTTCGTTTGTAGAAGTTGTTATTTCCATAGACTGTTTCAAGTCACGTTTCATTTCATCATTTCACTACTGCTTTACGGTGTAAGCTTCTGATGATACTGTGGCCTTAATTGCTTTGTGTTCGAGGTTTGAGAAAGATGACTTCCTGTACATGAAAGGAAGACCCCAGTATCATTTCATAAAGTCTCGTTCATGCAACTTTCTTGCTTATTTCTTCCTTTCTATATCCATTACCCCTTTTCCCTATAGCGACGTGTTTAACTTTCAACCTTGAGCTTTATTCTCAGTTTTTCTTCCATTGATTTTTCCTCCTTCTTTAGTCTTTGACAAAAGATCATCGCCTTGTAGTTTGTGCTCCTGCGTAGTATGGCACACCTTTGGGTGTATTTAAAGGCACAGGTCAGGACGATTTTGGGGGTATCCGGTATTTCAGAGATAGTGGTAGGTAAGGCCTACACTAAGACAATCGTAAAGCCTAAAACGCTAAAAACAGCAAGAAAAAGGAAAACAAACGGCCGAAAAAAAAGAGGAAAGAGTGGCAATACGAGTTTCATAACGGGGAAACGGTGGTTAAGTGAAATTTCGCGGAAGTACGGGAATGCGACACCATGTGTGCAATGGCACACAAAACACCCAAACAGCTGATTTAGACTACATACTTGAATCTATTTATTCCCCTGCTGATATTTTGCTGTACTTTTATGATTATTCAGTTGTTCTGCACAGAAAGGTGAGTAAATTCCCTTATATTGATTAGTTTACGATTAAATGTACCTAAGTCTTCATATAGTGCGTTGTTTTATTAAGTGCATGCTGGGATTCCGATTTTTTTTTATTTGCAATGGATTTTCTTCATTTGAGGTCATTTATGTGTTCTTGTACAATGTCAAGAACACTCTTTGACTTTCATTTGAAGATTTATGCTCAGTTGAAGCCAATCAGTTGAAATGCAGCCGAATATTAGTACCAAAAGGAGGCGGTCGACCAGCTGACCATTCCTGGCAATTTGCCAATCAGCGTATCGATTTTCCACCAACTTCGCTCCAGTGCGAAAGCGGTGAAAGAAAATTCGAACGCGTAGTCAGCCTAGCGAGGGGCGGAGCCCTGACGTCCCCCAGTGTTCCTGCCCTATTTGTGCCCTATTCTAACGAATTGCGACCTCATTCCTGCACAAATGGTATCAGGAGGGGCTTCGAATTCAAACTATATGCAAATCTCTGGAACACCTTTTCTTGACCTGTTTCCTGACCTGTGCCTTTAAGTAATAAAAATGCTAATATGGCGATCCAATGAAATGTTATACAGCGATTTTTACTCATGATTTCCAGAGTGTGGCGTGATCAACTCCTCGTACACTATGTCACCAAAAAGAAAATTAGCTTCTAATTCTTCGCTTCAGACCCAAAATTGAGTCACACTTTCATCCTTGGGAAACGCTCAAATTACATTAGGTACGTCTGAGGAAATAGAATCACCTACTTGAGTGAATGATGTCACTGCTGACTGTTGTATTAGTCTAAAATGAGGATCACTACCATTTGACAAGAAGAGTGGCGAGTTCCAGAAAGGAACTCATCAGTGTTCAAATTCTGTTGACATTTAGGAACGACCATTTACGACTAAAGGTATTTGATGTGGTTGAAGTGTAGATTACGTACTCTGCGTTACATGCCATGAACCGGTATACATTCACCAATCGATTACCATCAGATATTCGATAGGATATAGAAAAAATTTATGAAACGCACATCTGTTGCACCTGATGGCCACCGGCTTGCCGAAAATGTGACTTCGTGTACGACTTCCTTACAACGCTGCTTGCATTCGCAGTCCATTCGTTCAGTGACATGATGAAAATCCCCAAATGCGCCAATATTTCTCTCCAAGCAGTTACCTGAAGCTTTGAAATCCTGTGTTCACGGAAAAAATAAGGTTCAAACTGACGTGCTGTGGCGTTGAACGCCGAGCAGTGCTTGCTGGTTTCTGGTACTGGAAAACGTGGATCTCCACACGAACAATCTCGGATCAGGTTTGTTTGAAAACAACTTCTATGGCATCCCTAAAATGTATTTGATTATCAGCAGAGGCATAATTTTAGAGCGGTTTAAAAACCTCTGGGTGATAGTCGTATTGCTGGTAAATGTAGTTGGTTTTGTTGTATGTTTCCGAATGCATGCAGTCTCCGTAGGGCTTGGAAAGACGTTGAATAAGCTTCTACAAAGTGTGCATTGAAATAGAAGTGCGATGTGCAATTCGATAAGTCATAGCATGCAAGTTTCATAGTTGTAGTTCTAAAAGTTATTATAAATAGAGCTTCTGAAACAGCTGCTACTCAAAAGCTCACCTTCTTCATGCCAAAACTGCTAGCAAAGCCAACAGGGGCCGAATATCCAAAGGTATCCGGAAATGGATACTCAGTGGGAGAATGGATAGCCAGTCGCACACCAGCTGATTCCGATGTCGCCATGTAATCAGAGGTATTCACAAACAGTAGCACACGAATACCTACAAAGATGAGCAAAATAGCCTTATGAGATGATACTGGTTGGTGGCACTCCTCAACGCACATGACCCGTTCCGTCACAATCATGAATAAGCTATTGAGGCAAGCTTACTGTCACTCTATGATAAAAATAATTATAATCGTACCATACATTGGTCCTGCCCGACTACTAGTGTAATTGTTGTCGACGTCGTAATTAAATGTGAAGCAGTTACCGAATTCTGGATCCACATGGATTCGGAAATCTCTGCAGTAAAATAAGTTACTAGCGAAAATTGCTTCAAAATTTCGCGTTATGCTCAAAGGGTGGTGCTTAAGAGCCTTCCAGACAGCTTAGTGTTACGTGCATTATGTCTGAAGGAGTGATGTGTTGGTAATACAACCAACGGGAAGGGACGGATACTACATGGTTCGCAGTGGTCATTCAAAATAAAATATATACCGACGTATAGTTATCGAAATGCTGATCTCAAATCCACATTCCAATGCAAAACGATTATGGAAACCAAGTAACAAAACTATATGATAACTCACTCAAAAGCTAAAACATATCTAGCAGGGATAGCAATGTGGATGAGAGTGTATGTTCACGTCTGCACTTGGAGAGAGCGTGAGTTCAATTTCTGGAGAGACAACTCTTAGCCTTGCAAAAATTGCATAAATGGTATTTGCAACAGCGTCAGGCCCACGTTGACAGGCCGGACGATGGAGAAACTCTTTCGCCATAAACGTGTCTATGTAGAGTCCTAAAGAATCTAAGATAAAGCAAGGCCTTCACAAGAAAGCATCGCACAGAATCCTCGCTTGAGTCCTGTGGACAGTATGCGAGGGCAACTGAGGAGGGAACGGCACCAGTAGGGACTCCGAATGTCGGATCCTGAGGGGTTGCTGATCCGATAAAATGCAGAAATATCCATGCCCATGCCCTAGGAGACACGCTGGAATGGAGCAAAAGTCACGGGACTCAGGAAATGTGTCAAAATCCCTACTACGATGGAGGCGACACCAAACGGAAATGCCATCGCAGTGCAGAGTCCTTCAGAGTCTCCGTCTCCGCTGTCAACAAGATTATAGGTCGAATGATGGCTGTGAGTATAGACGTGAATAAAGAGTACTAGACAGTACAACACAATATCGGTATGCGGACCGCAAGCAGGCTCCCCGGTGGGAGTATCTCGCAATATCCTAATGGCCACGTTGTGAGTGAACGAAAGAGCTTTGAATGGTACATCAAAGCGAGGGAATAAGAGAGTTTAGGAAAGAAGTAAGAGAGAGGGTAATCGACCACGACACATCTCACGTCTTGGCAACCTCCGACATCTTCTTCGGAAAAGGGACATGCGCGAGATAACCTAACGGAGGGTAAGAAACAGAAATAGCCACGCGCTCGTAAGAAGATCATCTCAGAACTGTAAGGAACCTCAAAGCACTGCCTGATGAAGTTGTGGCTCTGCAGCACAGGCCTCTCCTAGCAGACATAGGCGTGAGTATCCGGAAAAATAAAAAAAGACGGGACAGAGATCCGATGGTGGAAATTGCAGCGGATCCTCCGTTCGGCTCTTGAAGAACTCGATGTTCGATGAAGAAAGAAGGTCGTCTTCCGGTCAACAATATTGCGGCATCGAGCTACTCAGCACACAGAGGAGGTGAAGTCCGTTGGGAGCAACGAGAGTGCTATCCTGAGGAAGAGTGATGGGTGAAAAAAAAACGTTGACAGGCACCTGAATGAAGTATTCGTATGTTGGAATAGTCTCCAACGAAGGCCACGTCGGGCACCATCGAACTTTGTACGGAAGATCACGCGCGTAGAACAATGGGAAAGATGTGTCGGGAAGACGCTGGTCAGGATGTGATACCGAACAAACCATGGAAGCTCCCGAAGTGCACGGGATAATGTGGTTTGAAATCCTGAAAATTGTGACTTTTAAAGGGAAAACTGCAGATGCGTGGAAAAGCACTGTATAGTTTCCAACTTCAAGCAGAAGGGGTCACGATGGAGTGTTTCGACCACCGGAAAACACGATTAAGCAGTACGAGCGGTTGGTCGAGTCGAGAATGAGGGGACTGGTCCCGATCTGACAAGCGCGCATCGGCTTTATGCCAAAAATGTCTACAATCGGTGCCATCTTTATAGCTGAAAGTAATGCGGAATTATCGGAAAAATTATAAACCGTGCTATCTAGCATTCCTCTATCTGAAGAAGGCATTCGACCGTCCTCTCGCGATAATTCCTTTGGAGAGCGCTTCGACAACAAACGTCTCATAACGCATGATTTCCCTGGTCAAGGGTACGTAGGATGGCTCATCGACAAAAATACTCACTCCACACGGCCTGAGCGAAGCAAAAGACGTTATGGTTGGGATAAAGAAGGGATCAGCTCTAGGCCCATTCCTCTTCCTGCATACAATGAACGCTGTCGCGGAAGAACTTATATAGGACTGGAGATCATCTTAAACGCTCATGACGTTGCTCTGATAGCGGAGAGCAAAAAAACCCAAACTCCAAAACAAGCCTCAGAACTAGCAGAAAGTGCCGGCGGAGGGTGGGCTCCAGCTAAACGTGAAGATCAAGTTCCTAAGCTTCGAGAAGTGCACGGAGTCAACTGTAGATGGTTTCGGGAAATCGAAAGGGGACTGGGCTCCCGATAACCGGGGATTGGTGTGACCGCTGGTTCTAGCGTAGATCAAAGTGTAAAAGTCGAACTAGACACGACACGAAGTTAGGGGAGAAAGCNGAGAAAGCTCACCGGTATACCTTGCGTGCGTCGGCTACTGGAGGCACAAAGAAAAGGTGTAATAGCCCGCGGCAAGGCCTATGATGGTTCACGGGAGTGTTGGTCCGTAAGTGAAAGCAATATAAGGCAGCTTCACGCCGCTGAAATGAAGTGCTGAGATGGAATTGCGGCGGAGCGCTGGTGGACCGGATTAAGGCGGAGACATCAGAGCAGCTATGCTAACGGCCCCTGTTCAGCTGAAGATAAGAGAGCAGCGCCTGCCATGGTTCTGACATATATTAAGAAAACTGCAAAATCATCCGATAAGGAAAGCAGTGGATTTCGAGGCTAAGAGTGAGCGACCGGAGGAGCTTCATAGGTGAGTTGGCGGAGAGTAATCAAGAAAGACCGTACCAGAGCTAAAGTGACGGCAGAAGAGGCCGTAGATAGAAACAAGTGGAGACAGCTTACAAGTAAAGCGCACCTTGCGGCGACGCGAGTGGAAGATTGAAGCACATCGAGCCAGGGCGTTAGCCATCCGGCGCAGCAGGTGAGGCGATGCACTCACGGAAGAGACATATAGTTTGCATCGGCTTGTATTTTTTCCTCATAAAATATGTGCAGAAGTGCTTAGAACAGTTCTAGACATCCACTGATTATCTACAGCTTTCGCCCGTCGCTAAGGTCTATCGGAAACGGTTTCCAGATGAAGCCCAGTCTTGGCAGTCTCTGTAGTGTCTCTAGCCCTAGCGTGTGATTCATATTCCTGTACTTCAAGTAGGAGACATACATAAGAATACCTCATCGTATCGGACTGCATCTTTTCAAATGACGCTTATACTGTTTAAACGAATCGATGATAAATCATAATCGTAAAAATGGCGGAACATGGATGGGAGCTAATGTATCAAAGATGTAAACCACGCCTATGAGTCGATCGCTTTACCTGCAATGCCATCGCGAATAGCCATACGCCCGCGACCCGACGTGCTTGACTATTCGAATTTATTCCATATCGCCGGACGAAAGGCTTCTGTAACTCTGTTCCCAGAACCATACATTTTATCTCGATGGACAGAGCGACCTAGTGTAGTTCCCTTAAAAGACTTGGCGTGACAACTAGTCAATCTCAGCAGGGTGAGTGAGTGAAGGCGCTATACCTCAGACCCATCTAACATACAGTCATCTACATCCAGAAAAATTATGGTCACCGTATTGAAGTGGAATAGTGAGTGGAACGACATTGTGTGGTAAGTGGACATATGGAATCTTCATGTTGTGGTATACTTAACTATGAACTCTCAAAAAATGTGCGATTCCTAGTGTCTTAACTGAATGCTGGTACCGGTGCAAACATAAGCATACACAGTGGACCCAGATTGGCAGTTTTTCATATATTGGCAACAACAAATGGTCTTTAAGTTGGGAGCGAGTGCATGATAGATAAGCTAACTTACTTGTCTATATTGCACTCATGTCCGTTGAAAGAACACATTTCAATGAACTCGTGTTTGCTCTGGGAAAGGGCGACACGTTGTTCAGTCGATAAAGCAGACATTGTGAACATCAAGTTTTCTTTGGCTTTGGTTAACATAGCTACACCGTCGGTCATTCCCTGAAGAGATTGCTACATCAATTTTCAGGCCATAACTTCAAGAAACATTGACTACCAGATCGGAAGTGTTGCCCTAATAATGTGCTTGTCAGTAATGTCGTAAATCAGCAAGCGCTGAGGTCACGAAAATGTATATGGGTCAGAACATGTAATCGCAGTTGGGATGCCATGTTAGGTTGTCGTGTGTACGGGCTCTCAAAATCAGAATAGGAATTTTATACGTCATTAATGAGAGGTCCCGACACGTGTAGCCGATGCCGCGGCCTGCGGCGAAACAGCTGCTGCGGCAGCATTTACCTACGAATATGAATGAGTATGAAGCAGCTGCATGATATAGCAGCATGCTTGATCCGACTCTATTTATTTATTTATTTATTTATTTATTTATTTATATTTATTCACTTGATCATCTGGTTTTTTGAGAAGCGTGTAAGGTGTTACTGTTAAGGAAGAGTTGTTCGAAAGCAGGCAAGTTGTCGGGTTAGCCGAAATTAATTTCACAAGCCTGGCGATTATACGTCAACCAAACAGATTCAAAAATACACCATTTTGTCGTTTTTGAACAAGGAATGGTACAAAGATCATGTTAAACCGAAGGCTGTCAGAAATTGATAAGGTGCTCATCTAAGCCAAGACAGAAAAGCAATGAGTAATCGATTTTGTGATGGAGTGATTTATCATAGAAACCGGAACTCCAACTGTTTGAGTGAAAATGTTATAGAGTGTGGGATGCTGGTATGGAAACGTGGATCGGAGTTCGCTTTCCTTGATCGTTTTGCACTTCGATTTATTAGGTTAGCTTTTGATACTGAAACTGTTGGTTCTAACCAAGGTTCTCCTCAGCGGATTCACTTGCTGCATTCTTCTTTCTGGGACCTGGAGTTGACCCCTCCTCTGACTCCACTCGTACCGAAAACCAAAAAACGAATACCACGATAATCTCACCGAGAAACCCATGGCTTCGATCGTTTCCGGAGCGCTCACGATTGCTCTCTGATGCGGTCGACTTGTTGTTGCTGAAGAAGAACAACATTCACGATATGGGATGTTTTCTAACGATTATTTTTGTTATTATGTTATTATGTTTTTTGCTGCAGATATATTTATGAGCCTAATACAAAGACATCAGGGAGCATAAGTGCTAGTATTGAGAATTTTCAGTGACTCCTTTCTCTATAGGTGGAGGTGGTGTAGTGACAAGTGGCGCACTATATCACACGCACGGCCAAGGGTTCGAATCCCGGATCGATGCCCGCCTAGGCCAACCAAGCCTTCCATCCCTCCGGGGTCGGTGAATTGGTACCAGACTCGTCCTGGGAGTATAAAAGCACTGACTTGTACATCGGCTGGCCACCGCAAGTCATTGTATAGGCCACATACGCATTCATTACGCCACTACGATTCTGAATGGAAGTCGAGTGCGGGGGCGCATCCCTCATGATTAACGCCAGAAACTTTATCCTTTATCCTTTTTCTATGTCGTTTAACTGTCTGAGACGATTCTCTAACATAGTTATGCTCCTAAGGTGTACGCGGTCACAAACGATTCTCTAATATAATCCATGCTCCTAAGGTGTACGAGGTCAAACGAAGCGAACTCTTATGTGAGTAGGCTCGCGTTCTACCTCTGACAGCGCCAGGGGCGAAACGTACACATCTAAGAAAGGCTATCATTCATCACCATACCCACCCTGAGTATTCAAGAACGAAAAAAACGACTTTTGCTTTTTTCGTGTTTCTTTTTTATAACAAGTTTGGTTTCCCTTCTCGAATGGATATATCATACAGTTCGCTCAGTTTGTTGAGCTAAAATTTTCTTTCTTTTTTTTTCAAAGCGGTAGAATGAAATTCTGACAAGTCACAATGTCAAAGCCTACCTATGCTCCTCAAAGTTTTGAAGGACACGTAATCAGCAACAGCGCGCGCTATAATTATAGCTATGAGGCATTCACTTCTATCCTTTATCAAATAATAAAGTGACTACCATATTCAAAACCAGGCGAAAATAAGACCGTCGCATTCCTCAAGCCGCATTAATCATTTCGATAGCAATTTTTTTCAAAATGGAAGAATGTTGCCACGCGCCGATTTTAAATGACAGCGGCTTTGCTATCTAAAGAGCAGGAAATATGACTTTTTTCCTATTATCAGTGAATGATATGCCTATACTTTAGACATAGCAGATCTTCACTGTTTGCAATTCGTGTGCTTGAGTTCAAGAGGAAAAGATATTTTATGGTCTAAAACTTGATACCTGGCATGATCCTACAGAAAGCCTACGTTTCTTCTTCCCCAAGTTAGGAACTCTTTCTGAGTGAGCAATGAGGGCAGGAAATGGTTACTTCTCTGGAGTCTCGGTCTTCATACGGGAATCCCATATCTGCGCAGAGCGCTAGAGACTGAAAATTTTTTCATGTGGAAATGAACTTCTGAAGGCTTACAACATTGAAGTCCGTTTTCAAAGAACTAACACATGATATGAAAACCATTTACGAGTTTCACTTTGAATCGGCACCTTCAGTGCCCGCTTTCTACCTTACCCGCTCTCTGGCCACCAAATTAGCTGGCTGTGATAGAGTACAATTCCCACGCTAAATGTGCGAAAAGAAAAAAAGGCGTTTTCGCGTTTTTTCGTTTCTTCTCTGTAACTGGGTTGATTTCAAGTTTCTTAATATAATGTGCTATATGGTTGAAGTCAACTCCTCGAGCTCTATAACAAAGTTTGTCTAAAATTTTAGTAAATTAAATTTTGAAGTCCCCAATCCATCAAAGTTCCTGAGGGTACGTCATTAGCAGCGACGCCTGCTGTAATTATAACCACAGGACATTTACTTCTATTGAAAGCGGTCCGTGGAACGTGGAGTAGCTAATACTTCCCGGTATTAGGTAAAATAAGACCATGGCATTTTTCAGATCGTCCTGATCACATCGATACCAGTTTTTTCCAAAATGGATGAATATGGCCATGGGCCAAGTTGAAATGGCAGAGATTTTCAAAATGAAGAATAGCCAAAATGAGATGATTTCTGCTCTCAGAAATTGGTGTGCCTATTCTCCATAAAAATTACTTCCTCATAACTTGAAAATTAGTGCTTTGAGTCATAAAGAAAAGGTTACATAATCGTTTAAAATCCGGTACG